TAATCGGGATGGGTGTGTCAGAGGCAATGAGATTGGCACAGGATAGAGCAGGGTTTAGGGCTGTTGTACATAGGGTCGCTATGAGTCGCAAAAGACTCGAGGGCACATAACAACATTATCGAAACGTAAAGGCTAAGCTATAGGACAAGGCCAGCATCTAAAAAGTAATGAAATCAATTCATATTATGGAGAATTTTAACTCACAACAAAGAATGCTTTGACTCACACAAAAACATGGCTAAGGGGTTCTACGTATATTTTGCCATAAAACAATAAATTAAAGCAAAACATTCTCGGGTGAGTGTCTCACGCGCCATCCCTATTTCCGGAAAGAGCCGAACTCTCTCGTAAATCCTTGCCTCGCCTTCGACAGAGGTCATTGGGGGTGGAGCTAGCACGACAGCACGTTCGCGCAAGGCATTGTGGGGAGGGAAGCCGGTGTCGCCGCAGCTGCCATCTTAGAGGAGTCTTTCGTTGCGGCCTTCTCCGTAGAGGCGGCGTTCGTGGCGCTTTTCGACCCGACAGTTGTAAAAAGTCATCTGACTTATAGTTTTTCCTTCTTTGGTTTCGACTAGTCGGCCATCTCACGTTGGAAGTCTGAGGCTAGGGAATCCGAGAGCCTTTCAAGACAAGCCAGCGGTTGATTATCAGAGTCGCCTGGAAGGATGGGCCGGTCTCGGAGCCGGAGTTCGTCCCGCTCCAAACACACTAAGAGCAGCAAACACAACAAGAAGCGTAGCCGGTCGCGTTCCCGGGACAAGGAGCGAGTTCGGAAGCGTTCCAAGTCCCGGGAAAGCAAACGGAACCGGCGGCGGGAGTCGCGGTCCCGCTCACGCTCCACCAACACGGCAGTGTCTCGGCGCGAGCGAGAACGGGAACGCGCCTCGTCCCCGCCCGACCGCATCGACATCTTCGGGCGCACGGTGAGCAAGCGGAGCAGCCTGGACGAGAAGCAGAAACGAGAGGAAGAGGAGAAGAAAGCCGAGTTTGAGCGGCAGCGAAAAATGTGAGCATTCAGTGCGACCGAGGGGAAGGCTGGGGTGTCGGGGAGCCTGGGGCGCGCGGGACTGGAGCCCGCCCTGGGGGTGCCAGCTGCCGAGGGCTGCCAATAGCCGAATGTGCCCACCAGTTTACCAGGCGTGGAAATTGTGGGGCTCGAGCAGGAGCCCTTTACCCGGGTCAAGGGGGTTTTGGCGCGAGGTGGGGGTGCGAGCAGGAAGTAAGGGGTGGAGTTCGGGGAGAGGCCGGACCCTCTGTTGGCGCGGAAGGGGAGGGATGGACTAGCCTAAGGTACGAGGTGGGTGCATTTGTTGGCCGGGTTTAAGAAGGTTGGAAAGGAATTCACCGGTGTGAATCCCAGGTGTCCTGCACCATTCTTAACAGTGAAGTTTAAATTTGGGGCAGGGCCTAATTACTTTGGGGAATAAAGCACTGTGCCCCAGCGGGGTGATTATACCCCCCCCAGCCATATCTTATTCATACCGCCAAAAATGTGGAGGCTGACCTTCTAGGGACATACTTATCCCCCGTTTTGAGATTTAAAAACAAAGTACAAACCATAAGTGCATTCTATGATGAGGGCTTTCTTTTTTATACTTGATGTCACCCGTGTAATCCCCGCGCCAGTTCAATTGTAGCTTAGTTTTGTACTTTTTTTTTTTCCCTTTGGTGAATTTATTTGCATACCTGTTATAAGTTCTCCTTGTTACAAAAAATATTTGGGCTTTTAATGTTTTACGTTGATCATACTTTTTTTTTTTTTTAATCTACGAAAAGTTCGAGTTAATGTCAGGTTTCACCTATCTAGAAATAAGACTAAGTGTAGATGATAACAAAATAAATGAGCTTTTGGTTTAAAAATGAAGAATTTTAGTTTGTACTTTGTCCTTTTTTGTGATCCAAGGAACAAAAGTTTCCCACCAACATTTTTTGTTTCTGGTTTCTTGTGAAGCTACCATCCCAGTTGTGGTAATTGGTACTGTTTGGTGAGATCTTCATATTACCCAGAATTTGAACCAGCGTCACCACTCTTACCCCTATAGCCCATGTGGAATATATGTGTCACATATAATTGTATGAAAAACCATGCAATTAAAATTCTTTCCCCCTCTACTTTAGCTTATCTTTACTGGGAAATAAAAAAATATTCAAAGTGGAAAATAAGTCATTTAAGGATGGAAACATAATATTACAGATATTCATCTCCCAAAAGACAAGCAAAATAGCAGCTATCCTTGTTGATTTCTTCAGTGATGTTTTTAGAAACTGCCTTTGAGGCAGGAAAGTTATTTAGTTTAGGATTAAGAGCTTCATTGTTGTGTGCTGTTGTGTAGGAACCTGACCCATAGCTAACCCTCCATAGCGGGGGTTTTCAGAGTCAATTTATATGGGAAGAGATCGATCTGCTATGGAGAAGGTGGTGGATTGGATAGTGCTTTTGGGATTGCATCTCAACATTTTATCAATAAATAAGCCAAAAGACTGAGTAATACTACCGAAGACTTGGTACTTTGAGCTGCTGACATTCCATAATTCAAAAACAAATGCAAATCATGTTTTTGTACAATGATCTATGTGTATGAACACAAGTAAAAACCTATCTTGATTTAGTGTGCTTTGCACATACTGTGCTTTTACACATTGAAGATTTGTGGCAACATTGACTTAACAGGCCTATTGTGTCACTTGTGACAGCTTTGGTAATTATCTTTTGAACCTTTTCATAATACTTTTGTATGACCTAGTGGTGATAAACTGCGGCAGTTCCAAAGATGTGCAGTTCAAATCCACCAGCTGCTCTGTAAGAGAAGGATGGACAATTATTCTCCTCCTGTGCTATTAATTGCCTCTGAAAATCTGTTGGAGGATCAGTCCCGACTGAACAGTACACAAGGACACTATTATACACTTACTAGACCTTGATATAGTGTAAATATCATGTTCTTTATACTGAGAATGGAATATTTGCTTTATTATGGTGGTCTAGAACCAAAGCTCAAGTATCTTCGAGATACAACTATTTGACAGTCAACCTTGATTGTAGGATCTTTTTTGGTCTGGAACTAGAAACTCCTTTCCAGCAGACTCTGTCTTTCACCAGAAAGCTAAGAGCCATGAGGATTTGGGGGGCGGTGGGAGAAGTAGTTGTCTTCCTTTTGGTTGGTTCATCCCATTAACCTGTTTTAATTGAACATTTATTAAGTGGAATGCTGGTGAATGGCATAAAGACAGGTAATTTGATGGTTTCAGTACAGTGTAGTAATTCAGTGATGTAATTGTACAAAGGAAGCATCATCCTAGATGAGTAAATAAGGGTTCTAAGGAATAAGTAAAACATAAGAATATGAGACTTGCCATACTAGGTGGTGATCAAACTCAAAACTCTGCTCACTACCCCTAATTCAGTTCCATCTCACAGACAGTTTTTGAGGCTGTAGATAGCAGTGGAAGGAGACTGCCCATCTTTTTACCACAAAGACTAATGGATTCAAAACCACTACACAGCCTTTAGTTGAGCAGCACAAGTTGCTATAGACTGTGCCACGATGGAAGGATACATATAGAATAATGATCCCTCTATGCAGTACCACTGAAATAAAGGAAAGCAGTAAATTAAACAAAAGTAGTGTAACCAAACTTGATTGGCACATAAAGTTCTAAAGTCAGTCATATAATGACTGTTGTTGTTATGTGCCATCGAGTCTCCCGTGATCAAAACGACCTTATGTACAACCCCTCTGAATCCTGCCCTGAACCAGTCTAATACTGACACACACCCACACACACACCCATTGCCCCGGTCACTGTATCAATCCATCTCATCTGGGGTCTTCCGCGCTGGCACCCTTCCAATCATGACGTCCTTCAAGGACTGCTCTTTTCCAGCCATGTTCTCAAAGTCTGTGAGACAGAGCTTCAAAATCTTTGCCTCCAAGGAGAAATTTAGTTTCACCCTTTCCAAGGCAGACCTATTTGTTTTCTTGCCAGTCCATAGTTCAAGACTCTTCTCTAGCACCACAATTTGAAGGCATTGATGATTCTTTTGTCATCTTAGTCGTTGTCCAGCATAACAAGTAATTGTGAAGACTTTAGTCTCTAGATTGTCATGGTTGCTTTTCAGTACTCTGGAGAGGTCCCTGACAACAGATAAATCTAGTGCTATTTATCCTTTGATGTCCTGACTGCTGGTGTTAAGAGTGTTGATTGTGGAGCCTAGCAAGCTGTAATTGTTAACAACCTCAGTCTCTTCTCCATCTATCATGATGCTGCCAGTTGGTCCACTGGTGAGAATCTTTGTCTTCTTGATGTTAAGCTTCAATCCATATTGAAGGCTACAGTCCTTGACCTGCAGCAAGTGCTTCAGGTCTTTTTCCTGTTTAATAAGCAAGGTTGTGTCATCTGCATAAAGTAGGTGGTTGATGAGTATTCCTCAAATCCTGATGCCACATTCCTCATTAAGCCCTGCTTTCCAAGTATACATTGAAGAGTTATGGAGATAGGATGCATCCCTGACACACTCCTTTCCTGATTTTGAACTATGTAGTGCTTCCTTGGTCTGTTCTGAGGACTGCTTCCTGGTCCAAGTATAGGTTTTGCATAAACCCAATCAAGTATTCTGGGATTCCATTTTCCTCAAGGTTAACCACAATTTATTGTGAGCCACACAGTCAAATGCCCTTGTATAGTACTTGAAATACAGATAGACATTCCTCTGATACTCTTTGCTTTCTACCAGTATTCATTGACATTGGTGCTAATGTCTGTAGTGCCACTGCCTCTTCTAAACCCAGCTTGTATTTCTGATAGTTCTCTGTCAATGTACTGTTCCAGTCGTTTCTGGATGATCTTTAACAAAATTTTGCTAGTGTGTGATATTAGTGATATTGTTAGATAATTTCCACACTCTGTTGGGTCACCTTTTTTGGAATGGGAATAAATATGAATCTTGTCCAGTCAGTTGACCAAGTAGTTGTCCTCCAGATTTCTAGAAAGGTAAACACAGATGAGGAATCATGAGTCTTATGTTATATTAAGAAGCTTGGATTAAATATAGTGCTGTGTAGAGGATGGAACCTAGCTAAGAGACTCATGCAGTAAGTCTATTAGAGTCATAAGGGTAATTGTTGAAATGGGAAATGGAAAGATGTAAGAAACAGGGTAAATAAAACAGAATGTGGACCATGAGAGCAAAGAAAGCATTACTGTTGACACTTGTATTTATTTAAACTTTAACGGTATGGTACTCCTCACCCAAGCCACAGTCTTTTTAATTACTTCCTGTGCATCTGAAAGTTGGGCGGTAAATGAGGATGACAGAAGAAGAATCTAAGCCTTGAGTTTGTGGTGTTGGGGAAGAGACTGTTTCATGGGCTGCCAAATTAAACAACTGGTCCTGGAGGAAGTGCAGCCAGAGTGCTCCATAGAGGCAAAGATGATGAAATATTAACTCACATATTTTGGGCATGTGAGGAGAAGCCAGTCTTTACAAATGGGACATCATATTGGGAAAAGTGGAGGGTCAGAGGAAGACTCCCAAGAAGATGGATTGACACAATAACTGTAACAGTGGCCTTGAGCCAGTCCAAGATCTGAAACTTGGTGCAGGTTAGAACAAGGTTTGGATCTGTTGTTCATAGGGTTCCTATGACTTGTAGTTGATAATGGTACCTAACTACAATTTGTATTTACATGTGACTGTCAGAGTTTACAAGTCTTCACATTCTGTCCAACATTCTCTGTTGCCAAGTTCTGACTCAAGCAATCCTGTAGAACAGATCAAACTTTTACTTTAGGCTTTCTGGGGCTCTAAATAGTTGCAGGAAAAACCACTTTATCTTTCTCTGAAGGGCTAGCTGGTGAGTTCCAACCACCAACCTTTTGGTAGCAGTCCAGTACTAAACCAACTTGTTCCACTAGAGCTCTAGGCACTGGTTAATATGCTATAAACTTGCATAGTAGATTAAGGAGAGAAAACAAAGGATTTTCACTTGGTACTTCCTTATTGAC